TATAGTGCAGTGCAGGGTGTGTATAATGAATGTAGTGTGTTTGTAGTGAGTGCAGAGTATGAATAATAATTGTAGTGTATTTGTAGTGAGTGCAGAGTGTTTATAATGAATGTAGTGTATTTGTAGTGAATGCAGTGTGTATAATAAATGTAGTGTATTTGTAGTGAGTGCAGTGTGTATAATAAATGTAGTGTGTTTGTAGTGAGTGCAGTGTGTATAATGAATGTAGTGTGTTTGTAGTAAGTGCAAATTGTGTATAATGAATTTAGTGTGTTGTAGTGAGTGCAGAGTGTGTACAATGAATGCAGTGTATGTAGTGTGTTTGTAGTGAGTGCAGAATGTGTATAATGAATGCAGAGTGTGTATAGTGAATGCAGAGGGTGTATAGTGAATGCAGAGGGTGTATAGTGAATGTAGTGTGTTTGTAGTGAGTGTATAGTGAATGTAGAGTGTTTGTAGTGAGTGAAGAGTGTGTATAATGAATGCATGTGCGCTGGATGATGTGTGTGAGTGCGCTGGATGACGTGTGTGTGAGTGCTGGATGGTGTGTGTGTGTGTGTGTGTGTGCTGGATGATGGGTGTGTGAGTACTGGATGATGTGTGTGTGAGTACTGGATGATGGGTGTGTGTGCTGGATGATGGGTGTGTGTGTGAGTGAGTGCTGGATGATGTGTGTGAGTGCTGGATGATGTGTGTGTGAGTGCTGGATGATGGGTGTGTGTGCGCTGGATGATGGGTGTGTGTGTGCTGGATGATGTGTGTGTGTGTGTGGATGATGGGTGTGTGTGCTGGATGATGGGTGTGTGTGTGTGTGCTGATGATGGTGTGTGTGAGTGCTGGATGATGGTGTGTGTGTGTGCTGGATGATGGTGTGTGTGAGTGCTGGATGATGGGTGTGTGAGTGCTGGATGATGGGTGTGTGAGTGCTGGATGATGTGTGTGTGAGTACTGGATGATGGGTGTGTGAGTACTGGATGATGTGTGTGTGTGTGTGCTGGATGATGGGTGTGTGTGTGTGAGTGCTGGATGATGTGTGTGTGAGTGCTGGATGATGGGTGTGTGTGTGCTGGATGATGGGTGTGTGTGTGCTGGATGATGGGTGTGTGTGTGCTGGATGATGGGTGTGTGTGTGCTGGATGATGGGTGTGTGAGTGCTGGATGATGGGTGTGTGTGTGCTGGATGATGGGTGTGTGAGTGCTGGATGATGGGTGTGTGAGTGCTGGATGATGGGTGTGTGTGTGCTGGATGATGGGTGTGTGAGTGCTGGATGATGGGTGTGTGTGTGCTGGATGATGGGTGTGTGAGGGCTGGATGATGGGTGGGTGGGGGGGGAGCATTTTTTTTAAAACTTTATGTGTATGTATATTTGTTTATTTTATTCCCCCCTCCCTGCTTCTTACCTGGTCAGGGAGGGGGGAGATCGCCTGGTGGTCCGGTGGAGGGAGCCAGCCGCTGCACACAGGAGCCATCACACGCTGTGTTCCCTCTCCAGCTCTAACTCTCGCGAGACTCGCCTGTGCGGAGCGTTGCCATGGTAACAGCCGCGGGTCTCGCGAGAGTTATAGCTGGAGAAGGAACACAGCGTGTGCTGGCCCCTCTGTGCAGGTAGCAGGGCCGGTCCTGCAGGACAGGTAATGGGAACGGCGTTCCTGCTTTGGAAAAAGTGCAGGAACGCCGTTCCCATGCGTTCCTGCAGGACTCGAGCCCTGGATTAACCCCTGCTCCTCCGCTACACCTGGCAGGAGCACTTGGTCCATATAGGAGCGGTTCTAGACAGGATTAGGGAGGCCGGTTTGATGTTGAAACTGGCCAAACGTAGTATAGGGATGGCCAAGGTACAATACCTGGGCCATCGAGTGGGCTGTGGGAAACAGAAACCCAAACCAGCCAAAGTAGAGGCTGTAGCCCAATGGCCCACCCCTAGGACTAAGACTCAGGTGTTGGCATTTCTCGGGACGGCAGGATACTATAGGAAGTTTGTCCCCAATTATAGCGCCCTGGCCAAACGCCTTACTGACCTGACCCGTAAGAACCTTCCCCGCCAAGTAACCTGGACCCCGGAGTGTGAGCAGACATTCCAACATCTGAAAAATGCACTGATAAATGCCCCTGTCTTGGCAGCTCCCAAATCCAACTAAACAATGTTGCAAACGGGTAATTGGCAATCAGTCCAGTGTGTGCTTTTCCTCTTGGTGGCCGCCATTCGGGAGACGAACACGTGGCGGCGGCCATCCTTTTTTAAAAAAAAATTTTAATTTTTTTTTTTTAAATTTTTTTATTTTTTTTTAAATTCTTTATTTTTTATTGTGCACAGTATAACAGATCGTCCTGCCTTGTCACAATAACATAAGCAGGCACTTGCAGAATCCATAATGAAACAGGTTACATGAAAGTTTGAACATTTAAATCAATTGCCGTGTTTCATTGTGCCGAGTCGGCACATTTTATAGTAAGATTAATATACATTTGAGGCAGCCACACACATTATGACTAAGTTACAGGTGTAAAATGCAATTAGAATGATGCAGTATGGAAAAGTCATTCTAATAGTGCTAATTTAACATGCTAGTTTTGCATTGCTTGAGGTACAGGCACAATTCGGTATTAACCCTATCAATAATAACAGGCTGAACTTATGAGGTGCTACTATGAGGCTAATCTATACATAGGTTTATAGTTACGATGCTGTAGGTTATTGCTGTGTAGTGAATGCTTAAACTTTCGCGTCTGTATGAGAGACATGGTGGGAGCCCAGCTGTGTACTTTGGCATACGAGTGGTGACAAAGAGGGTCAGAACATGGCGCAGGCACCAGGTTACTGGAGAGGCAAGAAACAAAACCGCTGAGCGCTTACTGTGTATATGATACTCGTCTCACATTTTTAATTTAAATACATGGCATTGCTTTTCTGTGAGATTCCAACATTTATGCTTATGCTATGTTTATATCTGATTAGATTCTCGCTATAATAAAAGAAAAATCAAGTTGAGCCTGACAGGCGAGATGAGTCAGAGGCGAGACACAGAATGAGGGGTATACAATAGCATTAGGTTACCAACTTTGTGGGTCAGACTCAGCTGCAGGCAAAACATTGTAGTTCGTGGGTGAGTTATTTGAGGCATTTAAACTGCTGGTTGTGTTAGTGTAGTAAGAGAGTCAGTTTGTAGGTGAAGTATAGTCAGCAGGGCTCTCTGTTGCTGCCGTTCCATAGCCCCCATTTACCCTATGCCTTGCTTCAACAGAGCATAGTCCCTATTGCGGCCGGTGTGTGCCCGGTTTTGAATGACCAGTAAGGGGCCATGCGTTTCAGTGTCCTGAATCAAGGCTCTCCTTGTCTTGTTGGGCTCGATGCAGGGCTGCGGTTTGCTCTTGGTTGGTGCCCACCTCCGTGCTGCATAGGGTTTCAGAGGCCTTTGCTGTTTGCGTGCCCTCCAAGCCGGGTCCTTCATTGCGGGTTCTTGCTGCTGCTTATTCCGAAGCATGGGAGGGGCACGGTGTATGGTCCGCCACCTAAGTAGAGCTTCATCCCCTGATAGCGTTGCTGACTTTAGGGTGTTAAGGTTCTGCGGTGTTCTTCTCTTCGTTACCCTGCATGGGTAAGGTGCCTGCCCGTTTCTCCGCCGCTTTCTTGCAGGTTTGGGTCTCTTTAGGTATTCCGACTTTCGCTGTGGGTCGGGCAGTGAATGGCATGGTGAGGAGCTTAAGGTTGATGTCTGCTGGATTCCCTGTTGCAGTCTGCATTCCAGCTTCCACCAGAAATTTATGAATATTTGCTCCAAGCTGGACACAAATGTTGGTCGCCGCCATCTTTGGCGAGTCTCTTGTGTTACAGACTGACATTTGTAACTGTTATTTTATTTGACAAATTGCCCTGCTTCCCTGTGTTATGGAGAAGCCTAATTGCCAGCCTTCTGCCCCATGACTATGGACCTAGTGGGTATGGCGATTTGACTGTATTTGTGGGATCTGAGCGCTGTTTGGATATATTGAGCGCTCAGATCCAAGCCATCTGGGGATAGGTTGAATGTGGGGGTTCTGTTCAGTATGATAGGAGTTATGTATTTTTGTGTCTTTTGCTAAAATATGGTTAATGAAGTCTGCCTCTATCCCTGGATATAAGTGGATTATTTTCCCCATTGTCTCCTGGATAGAGGGCTCTGTAAAACCGGTTTGGGCCAGATAACCATGCTGCCAGCCAGGCCCCAAAAGATACTTTTGCTAACTTTTGAACCCCTTGTCTGATTTGTGCCATTTTTTAATATGTTGCTCCCCTGAATGGATTGATTCTAAATATGTAATTTTTATGAAGATTGGATGTGTAGTTTGAAAGTTATAGTACATGTATAAAAACTGTATTTTTACTGCCTGTGTTTAATTATGTTAACCCATTGTGTGCCATAATTAGATCACAGGCAGAGGGGAGGATTTTTGTGTGTAATTGCTGGGAGTGTTTCTGTAATGTACGTTTATGATTGGTTATTCTGTAAACCCCTGTGGGTGGTCCTATCTCAGGGAAACCTGCATAAAAGAAGGCCCTTTGGTGCCAAGTAAAAAGATATTCTTGACCCTCAATACGTAGCCTTGTCTCGTTATTGGAGGGAACTGCTATATCACACTGAGGATTTCTATGCTCTGCATACTCCCCTGAGCTTTTAATCACTTAGCTCTTTTAAGAGCTGTTCCTGTTACGCTCTCCTGGAGGAGAGGTCTTCCCCACACGGTCCTGGAGGACAGAAGCGGATCCAGGGTGGAAGGAAGACGGCGAGACTCCAGTTAAGCTACGGCGGTTGTGGAGTCTGCGGTGGTTGTGGTGTCTGCTGCAGTGTTTGGAGTCCTCAGGAAGCACTAGGAGCATCCATCAACGGAGGGTACTCGGTCGGAGTACAGGGAGCTCCGTTATATCTTGGCCCTCCGATGGGTTTCTTTGTGCCTGCCATGGCTGGGAGGACTCCCAGTAGTGGACCGGGATCACCCCCACCGGTCCATGGGGGGGGGGTTGCGGGGTACTCGCGTGTGGCGCTCAGTTCTCGGGCCGCTCCAGACTGGGAACTCGGCTGCCGCTCCCCGCCATTGCGCTCCCGGCCGCATGCCTCCGCAGGTAAAGCCTGTTGTCCGTTCACGGTCCGCATCACCGGTTCACCGTGTGGACTGAGTACCAGGTCGTCGCTTAAGGTTAGTGTGTGCCGTTTCATGAGGTTTGGAGGTGCCTTTTTAGCGTTTTTTCTCAGCTTAGTCAAGAGCTTCAGTTAGGCACGTCTTCCCTCCATGGCAGTCAGGCCCCGCCCCTGCGGCGGCCATCTTAAACTCCCGAACAGCAGTGTTTTGCCGTTGAGTGTCTGGAACCCAAATCGGACACTCGGTTAGGCAAACACCGCTGACACCTCCACACTGCCGTCAATTCGTGTAGGAACTACTGAATGGCTTCCCGTTCGGTAGAAAGAACCCCACGAACAACGGGATTATCCGAATCCTCCCCAGTCTCCATAACCCAAGCAGTTCATGTATGTGGCGAAACCGACCTCGCCACTGGGCATTGGAGAAGACTGATTGCCAGCCTCCTGCCATGTGACTATGGCCCCTGGGATGTATTGCCCTTTAAAGACATGATTTGGGCATAAAGGATTTGTGTTGTGCTGCTGCTGGCCCTTTAAGAACCATCTGGGGACATACTGTGGAGTTACTGGGTGGCCACCATTTCCTGTATCAGAGGCACATGGTGAGAACAATGGATGAAGCACATGGTGAGAACAATGGATGGCAGCCATTTTAACTCACAGACACTGTTTGGACTTTTCAACACTGTGCCATCTCGCCAGTATTTGGTGCACAGAGACATCGTGCAGTGGTTTTGGACTATACAGCAGGGGACACATTATACAGTGATTGTTTTTCATTTAGCCTGTATATGTTCTGCAGAATCTGCATTAAACTGTATATTCCAATGTACTGAACTGATCTGGGTGAATTTTGGATATGTGGTTCACCCAGATCCCCCGGTTCCAAGGATATACTTTTTTATGGGGTTATTGCATGTTTTGGGTTCCCTGTGATGTGTTTTATGAAACTGTATTTCTCTGTCTGTGATAATTAGATTACCCATTGTGTAAGGAAATTGTATCACAGGCAGAGGGGGGAATTTTGTGTGGGAGTGTCTTTCTGTAATGTACGTGTGTTATTGGTTGTTCTGTAAAACCCTGTGGGCAGTACTAAGTTTGTGGATTGGGAATAAAAGAGGCTGCATGTGCCAGTCCAGTCAGTTCCTGCTTAACCCTCAAAGTGAAGTGTCGTCTCTTTATTGGGGAAGGATTTATTGTATGCTGTTCCAGTTTGACTGCTAGGAGTCTAAACCCATCCGTATGGTTTTAGCCTATTCAGCTGTTTATAGCATTCATATGCTTGAGAGCATTCATATGCTTCTCCGATTCGGTGATTGTGGTGTCTGCTGCAGGGCTTGGAGTCCTCAGGAAGCGCTAGGAGCATCCTTTAACGGAAGTACCCCGTCGGGGTGCCAGGTGATCCGTTACAATGTATTTTGTGCTTGGTGGCAGCCATTCGTATGGACAAACTCAAGGTAGTGGCCATCTTGTTTTGGCAAACGCTTCCAGATGGGTTTGGTCATCAAGTGCATGGAACTATTATCGGACACTTGGCGAGCCGAACACTGCTGAGACTTCCATCCACACTTATGTTCGTTCCCATTCATCTGACAAAAGCAGCTTTCAGTGAAACCAAACTCCCGAACGAGGGATACACAACCAGCATTCTCACGAACAGTTTCTTTCTGCATTTTGTTGTATTTGGAGTTCCCGAAAGAGACCGACCGCACAGCCTGAATCTCTTGAACTATTCTGGGCAGGATCCTCGTGTGCGGTTGTAACGGAACTCACCATACTCCGACCGAGTACTTTCCGTTGATGGACACTTCCTAGCTTGCGCCGAGGACCACAAGCACCGCAGACTCAACAACCGCCGTAGCTTAACTGGAGTCTCCCCGTCTTCCTTCCATCCTGGATCAGCCTCTGTCCTCCAGGACCATGTGGGGAAGACCTCTCCTTCAGGAGAGCGTATCAGGAACAAGCTCTTAAAAGAGCTAAGTGATTAAAGCTCAGGGGAATATGCAGAGCATAGCAATCCCCAGTGTGAGTATAGCTGTCCCCTCCAATAACGAGACAAGGCTACGTATTGAGGGTCAAGAAGATCTGTTTACTTGGCACCAAAGGGCCTTCTTTTATGCAGGTTTAACACATACAGGACCGCTCACAGGGGTTTACAGAACAACCAATCATAAACATACATTACAGAAAACACTCCCAGCAATTACATACAAAAATCCTCCCCTCTGCCTGTGATCTAATTATGGCACACAATGCTTAACATAATTAACACAAGCAGGAAAAATACAGTTTTTATACATGTACTATAACTTTAAAACTACACATCCAATCTTCATAAAAATTACATATTTGGAATCAGCACACTTTAAACATAATAACCAAAAATCAGACAAATCCATCCAGGGGTTAAAAAGTTAGCTGGAGGTCCCTTTATGACCGACCGCAAGCACATTTTCCTGCCCAAAACAGTTCCATAGATTTGGGCTGTGCGGCCGGTCTATTTCAGGCTAGAAAAACGAATGGGACTTAGTCTCTGCAGCTGTAAAATCATTGTGGGAGAAGGTAGGGCTCAGCGGTGTTGGCGGAAATGTGTAGCCGATTTTAGTTCCATGAATTTGGCTTCACATACCGCTGACTTCGTTCGAGTTATCAAAGATGGCCGCTGCCACGTGTTCGGCAAACGAACAAAGGCCACCCAGCGTTGTCAATTAAGCTGCGGTTAACCGCAGCTTCTGGGAGGTAAATTGCCTGCACACTTCCACTTCTGAGTGGTCTGCCTGTGTGGTACTTGGTTCAGTAAGCCCCATTTACTGCACCAAGTGGGAAATAGCCAGACACAAAGGGTTTTAACCAGGTCTGGGGACACAGGGGACACCGTCTTAAAGGGGCAGTGTCTGGGGACACCGTCTTAAAGGGGCAGTGTCCCAATCTTCCTGATGTCCCAAAAAGGTGTTTAAAGGGCCAGCACCAGTCCCATAAAGAGTCCATAAGCCACCATATGCCCACTGACTGTCTTAAAAGGCCATACACACCCAATAAAAGTGCATAAGTTCTCACAATCTCCCAGGGGCCATAGTCATGTGGAAGGAGGCTGGCAAATAGGCTTCTCCACAACCCAGGGAAGCAGGGCAATTTGCCATTTAAAGGGCCAGTTACAAATAGCAGTTTGTAACACAGTTCAATTGCCATGGAGCCAAAGTCTTTCCCATAGTCTTTCATTATACGAATGGGCTCCATGGCATAGCTATCTGGGGTATCACCGCTCAAACAGGGCAAGCACCAAATGACCCGGCTTTCATGTCTTTGCAGGGGAAAATCAAGCCTTTTAACATGGGGCCATAATCCAAAGGCAACAGGCGAGCAACCAGGCTTCTCCAATGCAATGTGGCAAGATTGGTCTCGTCACAGATACATTGTTGCAATATTTAATGGGAGCCACACGACCTCCTGTGTGTGTGGTCTCCCATTCGGTAGTTTGTTCGTTTCACGAACAGTGTTGAAATTCACTGTTCGTGAAACTACTGTATGAATGCTGGTAGATTTCCTGCCGCCAGCATACGAATGCTCTCGATCGCATAAAATGAAGAAATAGGTACACGCTTGGTTCCAACATTCTTAAAGTCACAGCAACACATTAATACACTATATAATATGGGCCCAAGCCCGCACCAACCGCACCGTAGCCGTAAGAGTGGCTGAGGCTGCCATCCACAAGTTACCCACAGATAAGGTATTCCTTGACTGGAGTTCTGGATGCAAGCAACTCGAGGTTGGCATTATGCAAGAACTACCGGCCGAGGTCCTATTGGGGAACGATATAGGCTGCTTAACGTCCCAACTCTCCCATGACGTCATCCCGGAAACTTATCTGGTCACCACCCGAGCCCAAGCCAGACTGGAAGCACCGCTGCACTCTGAGGAAAACCAGGTAGGAATTGAAATACCCACTTTACCCGACCCACCTTCCCCGTTCTGGGATACCCCCCAAGGTTTTGGACAGGAGCAGAGAACAGACCCCACGTTAGAGGGATATAAAAAGGCAATTGAGTCTCCCCGGGGTGACAGCACCCAAGAGAAATTTGAATGGTATAAGGGACTATTGTACCGAGTGACTAAAGGGGTGGGTCACGGGGCAGCCCAGGTCATAAAAAGACAATTAGTAGTGCCCTGTAAATTCCGAGCTGAGTTACTCAAACTCAGCCACGACATCTAGGGGTTAAAAAGACGAGAGACAGGTTGACCCAAACGTTCTTCTGGCCCAAGATCACTCATTGCAGGACCTGTGACATTTGTCAAAGGATAGGAAAAAGGGGTGACCACCAGAAAGCTAAACTCCACCCGTTATAGACGAGCCCTTTCACCGGTTAGCGGTGGACCTAATAGGCCCCCTCAGCAAACCCAGCCAGTCCGGCAAAAAGTTAATCTTAACCGTGGTGGACTATGCCACTAGGTACCCCGAAGCAGTAGCCCTCTGGAACATAGAAGCCGAGACCGTAGCCGAGGCCCTAGTTAAAATCTTTTCCTGTGTCGGTTTTACCCAAGAGATCTTGTTCGATAGGGGGACTCAGTTCACTGCGCTACTGACCCAACAATTATGGCAGAGCTGTGGAGTGAAACCCATCTTCAGCGCCCCCTATTTCCCCCAGACCAACGGACTCTGTGAACGTTTCAATGGCACGCTTAAGCAGATGCTCAAGACCTTTACAGAGTCCTGCAGGAACTGGGAGAAGTACCCATCTTCTGTTTGCCTACTGTGAAGTGCCCCAGGCATCCACCGGGTTTTCCCCCTTCGAACTCCTGCTTGGGAGAAAAGTTCAGGTCCCGCTGGATCACATACGGGAGCACAAGGAGGGCAATACAGATGATGAGGGGGTCCCTGTTGTGCAGTTCTGGAGTTCCGGGACGGGCTGCAGGCTCTCACCGACTCTGTTCGGGAGAACCTGCGGGCAGCCCAGGAATGCCAGAAGAGGTGGTACGATAGAGGCGCCCGAGATAGGGTACTAGAGGTGGGACAGAAGGTGTTAGAGTTAAGCCAGCTAAGAAGGACAAACTGCAGGCAGCCTGGCAGGGTCCTTTTAAGGTGGTAGAGCGCGTCAGCGACACCACCTACATTGCGGACAAGTGTTCAGATGAAAGGCTGACCAAGGCTTTTCATGTGAACATGCTCAAGCCCTATTTTGACAGAACCGAAGATGTGGGCGCAGTATGTGCTCCCTCTTCTGAGGATAGTGAGGGGTTTCCCCTCCCCGATTTTCTGGACACCTCCCTGTGTACTTTTGACCAAGTGAGCTTGGGTTAAAACTTAACCCCCTTAGAGAAGAGCGTGGCCTCTCCCTGCTACAGGGATACCAAGGGATGTTTTCTGCCATACCTGGGTACACCTCTGCTGCAGTACACCATGTAGAAACCCAGGGAGAGACCCCACTACGGCAGCAACTCTATCGTATCCCTGAGGCAGTTCGAGAAAATATGCTCACGGAAATAAGGGATATGCTAAAGTTAGGGGTTATAGAACCCTCACAGAGTCCTTGGGCATCTCCGGTAGTACTAGTACCTAAGCGCGATGGCACCACGCGCTTCTGTGTAGACTACCGGAGGCTCAATGACCGCACCATCACTGACGCTTACCCCATGCCCAGAATAGACAAGCTACTACCCTGGACTTGTGTAAGGGTTATTGGTAGATCCCCTTGGAGCCTGGGGCCGTCCCCAAATCAGCATTTGTCACCCCATTCGGGCTATACCAGTTCAAGGTTATGCCCTTTGGGATGACGAATGCCCCAGCTACCTTTCAGAGGATGGCCGATAGGCTCCTAGAGGGATTTCAGGATTTCGCCTGTGCGTATTTAGACGCTATTGCCGTCTACAGTCGCACATGGGGTGACCACATAGGTCACTTGTCCAGGGTACTGAATTCAGCGGGCAGGCCTCAGGTACAGTACCTTGGCCACAGGGTGAGTTCAGGTAGGCAGAGACCAGAGCCTGCTAAAGTAGAGGCCATAGCTAATTGGCCACAAACACGTACCAAGACACAGGTGTTAGCATTATTAGGGACCGCCGGTTATTACCGCAAGTTCGTCCCAGAGTACAGTGCCCTGGCCAAACCCCTCACCAACCTTACCAAAAAGGCCCTACCTAAGCAAGTAAACTGGACCCTAGAGTGCGCGGCCGCTTTCCAGAGACTTAAGACTGCGTGAGGCACCTGTGTTATCAGCCCCAAACCATACTAAACAATTTCTTGTGCATACAGATGCCTCTATGTTTGGGCTGGGAGCCGTGTTGAGACTTTAGCCTAGAGAAGTTAGCAATGCCACCGTGGAAAAACAGTGCCTAGCCCTAGTCTGGGCACTGAAGAAATTACAACCTTACCTGTATGGCCGTCCTTTTACCCTTATGACGGACCATAACCCCCTTGTGTGGCTAAACCGGGTTGCTGGCAACAACCCCAGGCTATTACGGTGGAGCCTAGCCCTTCTACAATGCAATACCGGCCGGGCAAACAAAACGGTACTGCGGACCGTTTGTCGCGACAGACTGAGCTGGACTCCTAATTTACTTTTCCCGGACATCCCCAAGCCAACCCGACAGCATCTAGGTGGGTATGCCGTCCCATGGGACGAAAGGGGAGCAGTGTGAAGAAATCACTCAGTTTGTTCGTTTATTTCTTTTTTTCATTTGGTAACTGTAACTACCAAACAGAGACAAACCCCCGGCTCGTTAACTTCAATTAAGCCCTCTCCCTGTGTGGCCGCCGTTCATATTGTCGAACGCCACGTGGCCGAGAAAATGGTGGCCATCTTGTTTGTGCGAACAAAGGCAGCGGGACTTGGTCGTCAAGTGTTTGAAACTAAAATCGGACACTCGACTTCCCAACACCGGTCCCAAACATACTGTAGCGGAGCTGTAATATTAAATCCCAATATCTCCGCTGGTAAAATAAGGTAATCCAAGGAAAGTGCTGAAAATGAAGGCAATATCCCAAATCCCCCCAGTAACCGGACGAAACAAAGTTCTGGGAGTCAACTGACGAGTTTATTCACAAGCTCCAGTATTTATGTGGTTCCCCATGCAAGGGGTTTCCTTAATTACTTTACAGGGTGTTACGACACTCCCGGCATAAAGGAGTGTACTCGCCATTTAGTAGAGCTTCCCCTTTGCAGAGATACAGGCACGACTACTTTAGAGCCCAAACTCCCAAACTGGAAACAGGGGAATGCGCCTATCTCCCGAACAGCATACTTAGTAACACTCCAAACTCCCGAACAGTAATCCCATGAATCGCTGCTAACAGACGAACCGATATAGCATCCAAGCGGCTTACATTCCCAGCAATCAGTCTCTAGCCGCATATAGTAAATCCCCCCCCAATCACAAGACTAAGCTCCGTATTGAGGGTAAAACAAGATCTGGCTTTAATGAGGGCTTCCTGCCCTTATTTATGCAGGTCTCCCACTTAGTGGACACTCCCCTAGGGGACCAAATGGGAGACTGTAACAAAGGACAGACAGGTATCAGATCAGGACATACAGTCACAATACATCCCCACAATGCATCCTGGCTTCCTCCTCTCTGCCCTGGAGATAATTGAGAAGTAATTCAATTATCTCCCAGGACAAAGGCAAATCGCCATTATGCACGTGGGGATACTAACACAGAATTACTATTAAAATACACTATGTGAGATACATAACATTAAAAGCATACATTTAACATATCCCCAGGTTTGAGCGCACATTATTAAGCGAATGGCGCTCAGACCACACGAATACAGTTCAATCGCCATGGAGCCAAAGTCTTTACACAGTCAGTTCTCATACAAATGGGCTGTGCTGGGTACGGGTATGCTGACTCGGTGGGTTGCTGCGTGCCAGCGCTACTGAGGGGGGTAGCCTGGTTGAAGCATGGTTGTTGGAGGGGGAGACCGACTGTCTCCTCTTTGGACACACAGCCCTGCTGCTGGAGACTGACTGTCTCCCCTTTGGACACACAGCCCTGCTGCTGGAGACCGACTGTCTCCCCTTTAGATACACAGCCCTGCTGCTGGAGACAGACTGTCTCCCCTTTGGAGACACAGCTCTGCTGCTGGAGACTGACTGTCTCCCCTTTGGCTAAACAGCCCTGTCGCTGGGGGGCAGGACCGACTGTCCCTACCCCCTGTGCTGTAAGTGCAGAGACCACGGTCCCATCTGCACAGTTGTGGGGCTTACTGTCTCCCCTGGGTACATGAAGCTGCCGCTGGGGAGAGGGGGTAACAAGCTCCTCTCCCATATATACTTCCAGCCACGGGGGAGGGAGACCGACTGTCTCTGCTCCCAATACTGAGTCCTGCTGCTGGGGAAAGGAGACTGGGCTCTCTATTCCCGGTAGGACACTCTGCCGCTGGGGAATGGAGACTGGGCTCCCAATTCCCAATAAATCATTCTGCCGCTGGGGAATGGAGACTGGGCTCCCAATTCCCCTGTAATTCACACTGCCGCTGGGGATCTGAGCCGACTGCCCACCATCCCTGTAGCTCACCCTGCCACTGGGGAGGGAGGATGCTGCTCTCCTCTCCCTGCAAGGTACACTGCCCCTGGGGGGCAGGACCACTTGTCTCTGCCCCCTGTAACTCAGCCTGCCGCTGGGGAATGGAGACTGGGCTCCCAATTCCCTGCATATCACTCTGCTGCTGGGGGACAGGAGCAACTATCTCTGTCCCCTGTAACTCAGCCTGCCGCTGGGGAATGGAGCTTGGGCTCCCAATTCCCTGCAATACCGGTGGAGAGACCTCGGTCCCATCTCCACCCGCCACCTGGGGTTCTTCCCAGTAAATTTCAACAATATCTTCCCAGCTGAAGGGGTCTGGAACTGGATCTGTCACCTTGCTGTCCTGCTGAGCCTTCCCAATGGAGTGGAAGAGATCTCGGTAGTCCTGCTCCAGTTCCCACTCCAGGGTTGCTATGTGAACCAGGTCCTGCTCAATTTCGTGAGTGTCGTACCAGTCATACCTGCTCTCCCTCCACTCCAAGAGATCACTGCACCGGGCTTGTGTAGGGTTCCCAAACTCAGGCTCTGCAAAAGACTCCCATAACAAGCCAGGTCCATCAAACTCCTCTCCCTCTGGCTTGTCATGCTTGGCTGTCCAGCCTCCCGGTCCCCCCCATGCCGCAGCCGCCCGAGCGCTCTGTAAAGAGCCTCAGGCGGCTGCAGCTTTGCCCGGGCGGTGCGTCCATGAGGGCGGACCGCACCGCCCGGGCGCAGCCTGAGGAGAGGCTGACAGGAGGGAGCGCTCCTGTCAGCTCCCTCACTGCAGCATGGTCCGACGGGTACAGAGAGCAGCTGTCTCCTGTACCCGGCCGGACTAACAGGAAGGGAACACTGAGTGTGCACTTCCTGTTAGTCCAGCCGGGTACAGGAAACAAAAGCTCCCTGTACCCGCGGACTATACAGGGCTCGGCCACGCTACAGGGAGATAGGGGGGAGGGGGAGAAAGAAGGGGGGTGAGAGAGAGAAATGGGGGTGAGAGGGGTGAGAATGAGAAATAAGGGGTGAGAGAGGGGTGAGAAAAAGAAATAAGAGGGGGTGAGAGAGAGATAAGGGGGGGGGGTGAGAGAGAAATAAGGCCACTTGCTTCTGCAACCGCTGCTCTTCACTGGGGAGCCTCTTACCCCGCTGATATTGTACATTATCTAGGGCCTGGTACCAGATGCCTTTCCTTAATGCATCCCGGCCATCCAGGTCCTCCTCCTCGTATAACGCTGCTGGTTCCATCCCGGTGCTGTCAGGGTCTCTGTACTCAGACATGCGTTGCCCTCAAATTGTAAATCCATGGAATGGTGTCACCTGCAGCTGTCCTGTGGTTTGTGGGAACGATCCCGCCGCTGCCACCAATTGTAACGGACTGTTTTGCACACAAGGGGTAAAAACCATTTAGGCGATCGTCCCCTTCTCAGAGATGCAGGCACAGCCACTGTAGAACACCAAACTCATGAACCGCCAATAAGGCAATGCTCCAAACTCCCGAACGGCATCCAACATAGCACTCCAAACACACGAACTGGAACCATACGAATCGCTGCTAGCAGACGAATAGGAAAAGCATCCAAGCGGCTTACACTCCTAGCAATCAGTCTCTATCAGCGTTCAGTAAATACCCCCCAAAGACGAGACAAGGTTCTGTGTTGACGGTCAAGCAGTGGTCTGTTTAATGAGGGCTACCTGCCCAGTATTTATGCAGGTCTCCCACCTGGTGGACCAAATGGGAGACTGTGACAAGGGACAGACAAGCAGACAAATAGGACACACAGTCACATTATATTCCCACAATGCATCCTGGCTTCCTCCCCTCTGCCTTGGAGATAATTGAGAAGTAATTCAATTATCTCCCAAGACAAAGGCAAATTGCCATTATGCATGTGGGGATACTAACACAGAATTACTATTAAAATACACGATGTGAGACACATAACATTAAAAGCATACATTTAACATATCCCCAGATAGTCCAGGTTTGAGTGCACATTATTAAGTGAATGGCGCTCAGACCACATGAATACAGTTCAATCGCCATGGAGCCAAAGTCTTTACACAGTTAGTTCTCATACGAATGGGCTCCATGGGATTCCTATCTGGGGTATAACATTTCAAGTAAAACTACCGAACACCAGGCCGTTCGTGCATTCCCGCCGAACAAGAAGGGAGGTCGGCAGCTTCTGAGGTGTTTGCGCCAAACTGTGTCCAATTTTAGTTCCATGAGTTAGGCATCGAACACCGCTGTGCGTTCGTATGTTTAAAATGGCCGCGACCTCGTGTTCGTGATACGAATGGCGGCCACCCAGCATTCATCAATTAAGCTGCGGTTAACTGCAGCTTCAGGGAGGCTAATTGCCGGCACACTCCAGCTCCCAGGTGGTACAGTCATTCGTGCGGTTGTTCGGTAGATTGAATCTACCGAACACCAGGCAGAAAAGAAACAATAAATCTTTCGTATCGGGTAAATATTACATGTTACGTTCCATTTATTAAGGGGCGTATCGGGTACATATTACATGTTAGGTTCCATATATAAAGGGGCGTATCGGGTACATATTACACGTTAGGTTCCATGTATAAAGGAGCGTATCAGGTAAATATTACACGTTGACTGGTCTGTAACTCAGTCTGGGTTCTGACACGTGCATGTGATACTGTTTATTGTTCTTTTATTATTTTCTGAGTTGGTTAATCCACTGCTTGAAAAAGCCTGTTGGCGAAACGCGTTGCGCTACCATATAAGGTTTTTGTTTTTAACTGATTTTAATTTATTCATCTCTTTGTTTGGTAAATTCCAATAAAAGTTGTTTTTACCATCAAAACTAATTGTTTTTATTTTGTCCTGCATTTACCCTGATATTTCTCAAATCCAGAAGGTTTCTGCTGCTGCACTTTCTCCATGTAGTTTCCTATATCCCTGGTGGGGATTATACCACTCACGCTGACTTCATATATATGTAAGTACATTTCCTTTCAATTATGCAAAGTGGCTATTAATATATTCTCTTTATTTCTCTCTTTGTACTCTGTATCTGCTACCCTGCATAGAACCTAAAAGAATCGTTTACAGAGTGTGAGCAGGGATTGTACCGTTCTAAGAGCTGATTAGAAGCTCTTGCTTTGTGAGTGAATTTCTATTATTATATAATGTATCAAGGTGTTTAGACTGATTTACACTATTGGTGCTTCTCTGTTTTAATATATTTAATGTGAGACGTCCACAACAAGAGCTAATACCCACTGTATCTTCACTTTTGAAAGGTATCAGACTCTTCCTTCCGCCTATATCCTTGGTAAGGATTATATTTCCACAAGCCTTTTATATGGGAGCTAAACAATAGCTCCTTCCTTGTGAGTGCATTTCCAATTGTTCTTTCAATTTACCATGGTTGATATAAAATCCCACTATTGATTAATTGGTTTCTTCCTATGTGTTTATTGTCTTTACATATCACAGAACTTACCTGAACCAGTGAGGATCAGACTGCTCATCTCCAAGAATCATCTCCAACATAAAGACTTTATGTGGGACTGTACTATATAATTTATAAACCAATCAAAATAGCTATTAATTATTCTAAAGTACTCATTATATATCATTGTTTAATTACAGACATTCTGTTATTTGGTGCAACCTGTTTTTTCTTTGCGTTCTTCCCTATTGTATTTCATTTTATAGGTTATCCATCTTACAGAGTTTTACTTCCTTTGGAGTCAGCATTGTATTTTCTTTCCTGTTTATATAAGATGTAGTTTGCTAGAAAAGTTTACTTAATTGCTAGATGTCACAGATAAGGTAAAACAGGTTAGCATAGTGTGATTTTTTTAAATTTTTTTTTCAAAGGAATGGAGACTGGGTCAGAATCTAACAGAGTAGCGAAGGGAGTTCTATAGGAATGGTGCAGCCCTAGAGACATCTTTAAGGAGAGCATCAGAGGTGGGAGTACGAACAGAGGACAAACGTAGGTCTTCGGCAGAGACGGGACATAATTGTGTATTAGGAAGGATAGGTTGGAGCAGCGTTATGTGAAGATTTGTAAACAAGAACCAGAATTTTAAATTAGCCCTAGATCTTACGGGAAGCCAATGTGTAGGGATTGACAGAAGGGGGGTGCGTGGGAGGTGCGGGCGGACATTCATCATAGACTGTAACAGGGTAAGCTAAGAGCAGTGACCAGCTGATTGTCCTACTTGAGATCGGACGTAATTGTGGCATTGATGAGTACATTGAATGCTAAGACCATAAAGGAGGAATAAGTTAAAGGAGGGTGACATGAGATAAATAAAAACATTCCTGCATTGGTTTGACAGCTTTCATTGCTGTTATTCTTGATATTAAGCTCAGTTATATCTGGATAATTCCACTGTTTAGTAAAATATTGTAATTAGTAATAAAATGAGAGACTGGAGAAGTAAGAGATATTGTAGGTCTCACAAGGCAGTAGAGTTTTTTTTCAGAAGGATATGATATACTATTTATTTGTTTCATTGGTTTGTGAGAGAAATGGCTAGGTCTGATGTCTTGGTAAGGTTCAGTGGCCGCCATGCAAGCCCGTGGCCGATTCACACGCCTCCCACAGTTTCTTGGCCACAGCCGGATCCCGAGCAGTGTCAGACGGCAGAGTCAGCGTGGAGGAACTGTCAATGTACTTTCCTGTGATCCCTTCCATCTCCTCGGACACAGCACAGTATAGAGTGCTGGCAGCGCCATCTTCTGCCGTCTAGAGCGGGACCAGGGAAACAAAGCATATGGGTAATCGAGCATAAACACAATAGAACTGGACTGGAGGGGGATGGATGGGTAGGACAAACAACACAGAATGATAAGGAAGGATTGAGGTGGTATGATGTCAAAATGTCAATTTGTCAATTTACTCCAACCACTAGACTTCTCTGCCTGAAAACAACCCTGTACTGGGTGAATGTCAACTTACCTCAATGACCAACCTCATTCTTTATAATCAGCACCCTGTATAGTGAACGTCAACTTACCTAAGTGACCAACCTTACTCTGTGTAAACCACCCCCTGTATAGTGTACTTCAACTCACTTCAGTGACCAACCTCACTCTCTATAATCAGTGTGGCAGAACGTACTGTGCCTTTCGGCTATTTCTTCTTTACTTACATTCGGGTGTTATTGTAGCCAAACCCACTTTGTTCAACTCCTGAACGAGGACCACCCCTGTACCTCATTAGAACCTTAACACCAGTTAACCTTAAAGTGCGAAACCGCAAGGGAAAAATTAATGATCACTTACCCTGAGTCGCCGCCATTTCGTCCACACAGTCCTGGAGGTATAACACAATTTTATTGGCCACACATGGCTTTTATGCATAACCCCCTGCAAGGGGTGGATCACACAAAACATACAAGGTCGCCTCCCAGGATCCTACCCCTCCCTGGGTCCCTAGCGCAGAAACGGACTCTGTCCCCTTTGTCCCCAAAGCCCGCCACTAAAGTCACAAGGTTTCCCACACCAACCGCCAGGGCTCTTCATCTCAAGAGCCTCAGTGCGGGAAAAAGGGACCGTTCCTTTGTCTCCCAGGCACAGAAAAGCCCGTCGCGGGAAAAGAGCTCGTCTCTTTGTTCCTCAGGCTCATGAGGGCACGGCAAACTCTCCAGTGCCCTAAAAGTGCCCACACCAATCTCAGGGCCCCTTGCCTCGGCCCCTCAACTGACTAAACTCCGTTCGCGAGGTCCTGGGCTAAAACCCAGACAAGGGAAGCGTCTCTTTTTGGAGTATGAAAGCTCCCCCTGGCTGCTGTTCGTCTTTGTGAACGGCAGCTGCCCAGGGAAGCATTACTTCCCTTCCTTGCTGTTCCACACCTATATGGCGAGTTCAAACGTTCTGATTAATTGGTGTGAACGTTTGTAACAAAATCTCTGTTTGAACAGACTCAGAGAAACAGCACTTCATCTAATTATTCGTGTGTATGGCTAATTCGTGTAGTTTTTAATAAACCGGACAAACTACCGAACCATCCGACCTCCCAAGAGGTCGTGTGCAGCTCATTTACCCCCCAGATCTTGCGGTTAACCGCAAGGTAATTGATGAAAGGCTTGTTGGTCCACGTTCGTTTGCCAAACACGTGATGGTCGCCATTTTAAAGTCGTTGAACGCTCAGCGGTAGATGGTCGTCGATCCTCTGGAACTATTTTTGGACACTTATTCAGCCATACACCGCTGACGCGTACCAAGTTTCCGTTCATACGGCTTTCCGACTATACAGGATAGACCGACCCCAGGTAGCTGCAGTCATGGAACTCTTTTTGGATTCAATATCCCGAACAACCCGTGAACTAAAAACTTTACTCGACGATATTGAGAACTGTGTTCGTGGGATCTGAGCGCTATTCGTCTATATTGTGCGCTCAGATCCAAGCTACTTGGGGGTATGCGGAACATGGAGACTACGTTCAGCGAAATATAAGTTATGGATTTTAATAAAATTTGTTAAAATATAAAAAGGACATGTTTTTCTCTCCCTGGAGATAATTAGGTTCTCTTCAACCACTCAAGGCCCTCGTATGTAAGACGAACAGGGCGGGAAATCCATGAATGCTCCCCCTGGTGGTGTTCACCTGTATGAATGGCAACCACCCAGGGAAGCACTCATTAATTGTTTCCCTTTGCGGTTTGACACTTAGGTTGCAAGGTGTGAGCATTCTATGCTAACATTCTAAATGAGGGATTGGGGGTTTTCCCCGTTCGGTAGGTGAATGGATTCCCTTCGTGGAAGACCCCCCGAACGGGGAGTGGGCACAATAAACGAAAGAATGGGGAAAACACACACACAATGTAAAGACAGGCAAATCAGGGACAGGTAGCGGGTCCGCCACACAGCTCCCCCTTAACCACTAGCCGGCATACATGGTCTGTTTCCAACAGATCATCTTGGGGATGACCAGGGAAGGGCTCACGGATCACTTCTCTAGGACCGCCTGTCTGGACAACCCATCAGTGTTCCCATTTTGCTTACCGGGTCTGTAGTGAATGGTGAAGTCGTACACACACGTCGAGTGAGTGTGTGTTTGTCATTGTTTGTCAGTGTATATGAGAGTGTGTGTCTGTCAATAAGTGTATGCATCTATCAGTGAGTGTGTGACTGTCAGTGCATGTGGCAAACTTAGCCACTTTAGGTCGCACTGTTCAAAATCTGAAGGTTGTCTGACAAAAGCTGTTTTTATTCTGTGTATGATTGTATTCGGGTATTGCTGTAATTGAGATCATTCATATGCTAACAGCCGAAAGCCGCTAGCATTCATATGGTAGTTTCACGAACAGTGACTTTACTCACTGTTCGTGAAACGAATAAAGTACCAAATGGGAGCCCACACACATAGGGTCGTGTGGCTCCCATTAACCGATTTCAACAGTGTAGCAATCGGCGGTTAATTACTTTCCCGGGTGGCCGTCGTTCGGCTACCGACCACGCGGCGGTCGGCCATCTTGGATCCTTTGTTAGCCCAGCGGTGTTTGGTCGTCAAGTGCCTGGAACCAAAATCGGCTACTCGATGGCGTGAACACCGTTGGACTTCCAGGCCGTTCGGGAGCACTGGTCCTTCGGTATTTTATTCCCCATTATATATTCGGTATTTTTTAGAGGAATGTAAAGTAAAGTATGTTTCGTGCGGCGTTTGGTTATTTATGCTGGGATCTGAGCGGTACTTTCACAAAGTGTGCGCTCAATCCCCAGCTATCTACCGAACGGTCATTCGGCATAATCCTATGTATAATATTAAAGTTATGCATTTTTATGTAAAAAGTCAGTTCTGCTGTACGGAGGGATAATCCATTTAACAGGATATTCTAGTGGGAGTATCCCTCACGTACAGCAGTGCATGGTGGGAGAAATGCTCTGTATATTCAGTTCCCCATGTAGTCCTCTACTGTAATACCCCTGTAAAGTGACTAAGGAAACCCCTTGCATGGGGAATCACATAAATACTGGAGCTTGTGAATAAAATCGTCAGTTGACTCCCAGAACTGTGTTTCATCCGGTTACTGGGGGATTTGGGATATTGCCTTCATTTCCAGCGCTTCAGTTGGATGATTATTTGTACCAGCGGAGATATTGTGTTTTAACCTTGCAGCTCCAATTGGTGGCAAGCGACGGGATCCAACCTTAAAAAGCGGTGTTCGGGTAATTTAAACTACCAAACAGGAAGGTGAATGGCAATTTGTATACAGCAAAGAACCGAATGCAGAGGTGAATGGAGACAGATTACACTGCTTTGAAACAGCAGACATTGAAGGAACTATTAGAAGCCAGGGGTAAGACAGCCAGCAATAAGCCACAAGCTGTGCTTATTGCCGAACTGATGGAGGGAGACAGAGCTCGCAGTGTTACACCCCCACCAGCCATGGAAGAGACTCCCTTCCAAAAAGAAATGAGGACCAGGATGGAATTCCTACCTCAGCCAGTACCACCGGAAATACTGACGGTACTGATGGCGGATGTGCAGGAGTATGTGATGGCACACAGACCGCAAGACGCACCCTCCAAAACAGAATCTATGGCTGCTTCAATCATCAGCCAGGTAAAGCCAAAGATACCACATCATGCTTTTAAAGCATTTTGCGATGATAACGATGAGATTGATGGGTATCTACAAGATTTTGAGCGACTATGTGACCTGCATGATCTGGAGCAGGCAGGGAGACTGAGGGAGTCTCTTTGTATAGGGCCAAGTGCTGTCGTATTGCCTTGTCAAAGGCTCCTTCTTCACCCTCTAGCTGTGGGCAGCCGCTTCATTTCTTAGCTGGTAGTCCTCCATTAGATCGGCAACCGGCTGATTTCCCTCTCGCTTCCAGTAAGTCTTGTAGGGTTTACCTGTGACAGATGATTATCTGACTGTCTATTGTGGTGGATTCGTCTATTTCTGCCCCCTTTCGTGTAAATGGCTGTTTCTATAGCCCAGCCATGCGAATGACTGTTTTCACCGAACAAATCTACCAAACGGATGGCCACCCAGGATAGAAGTGTGCTGCTGGTTAACCTCTTGATCCCAATTAGAACGTTGTGGTTAACCCAATTAAACCAAATTCATTGTGGCCGTTGTTCGTATGTCGACCACGAGGCAGCGGCCATTTTAAAACACACGAAAGCCCAGCGGTGTTCGGCACTGATTTCATGGAACTAAAAACTGACACTTTTTCTCCCGAACACCGCTGAAACAACAGGTCACCTAGCTGCCTCGACGAAAGCGTACGAATACCGGCCGTTCGGGAGTTTTACAACACACGAAAGGACTTAACTCAGATAGCCTTCCCATGGAGTCAATCGCATACCGAAAGACTGTAAGAACTTTGACTCCATGGCGATTGAACTATGTGTGTGGGATCTGAGCGCTATTCGCTAATAATATGCACTCAGATCCAGGCTATCTGGGGATATGTGATGCGAATGTGAAATGTTCGGTTATTATAAAGTTATGTATTTTCTGGCATTTTATTTAAGATGGCGATTTGTCTTTGTCCTGGAGATAATTGAATTACTTCTCAATTATCTCCAGGGCAGAGGGGAGGAAACCATATTGCATTGTGGGAAAAGGTTACATCTGTTTGTCTGAAATGTCCCCATGTCTATCTGTCATTTCAGTCTCCCATTTGGTCCCCTAGGGGAGTGTCCACCAAGTGGGAGACCTGCATAAATACGGGCAGGTAGCCCACAGTAAAGCCAGATCCTGTTTTGACCCTCAATGCGGAGCTTCTGTCTCGTTATTGGGGGGGATTTATTATTTGCGCCTAGAGACTGATTATTGGAACTAAAAGTCGCTTGGTGGATATCGTTGTTCGGTGGCTAGCAGCAGTTCGTGGATTTCCGTTCGGGAGTTTGGAGCCTTTCACGGATCCCGGTCGGGAGATTACCGCTTCCCCTGATGGTGGTTCGTATACTACAGTCTATGCGAACAGAGTTATTGATATTGCGAAAGGGAAAGGTTAACTACACAGCGGTTTCTCTTAAAGACACCAGGGGTGTCTTAACATTCCCTTTTTAGGGAATAATAGTCCATGGGTCTGTTGGCAGGGACGTAGGATCCCGCTTACCATCAGTTGTAGCGGACCCTGGGTAACCCGGTTGGTTACCTCCGCTATTAATAAATGAAGACACCCATTTCCCCCCAGTAACTGGACCAGGGGTACAACAACAACTTTATTAGCCACACTCGGCTTTATACTTTTCCCCATGCAAGGGGTGGATCACACATAAAGACCATGTCCCCTTCGATGGTCCTCCCCCTCCCAGGGGTCGTATAACGGATTCAGAACCACAGTCCCTTTGTCCTCTGTTCCCACCACTGTATCCCCTCCCAGGGGTCTCCTGACGGAAACGGAACTCCAGTCTCTTTGTCCCCTGTTCCTGCCACCCATCTCTCACCTCCGGTGACAAGGGGTCTTCATCCCATGAGCCTCTGTACCTGGGAGCCTTCCAGCACGGGAAAGCTGGCCACCTCTTTGGCTCCCAGCTACAGAAAGCTTGCCAAACCGCCATTGTCCCCAAAGAGTGTTCCCACCAATCTCAGGGACACCCAGAACGGTAACCGCCATGAACAGCCTCCGTTCGCAGGGTGCCTGGGTGAAATCCGGCTAGGGAAACATCCCCATTCAGGATACGAATGCTCCCAATGGCCGACGTCCATCTATATGAACGGCGGCCACCCAGGGAAGCAATCATTAATTACTTCTCTTGCGGTTTCACACTTATGTTGCGAGTTGCCAACGTTTTAATTGGTGCAAACACACCAAGGGGCACTTGATGCCCAACATGCAGAACTTAAATATAAAGAAAATTCCTAAGACATATTACCGGGCCTCAGGATGGCCGGATTTAACGTATAAAGGAAAAAAACACAAGACAGGACAAGGACAAGATGTAGAAATAATGGAAACGAGGAACAAGCCACAAGTCAAGGAATGGAGAAATCAGAATAGTTGGAAGGGAAGCCAAGGTCAAATACACAAGAATCAATACAAGGAACGTGCTCTCGGATAACCACAATGGAAACTATGACAGGGCACAGAGAAATGGACAAAGCAGGCTTTTATAGTCTAAGGTGCTCCCTGATTGGCTGCAGGGAAGCACGTGATCATGGGCGTGACATGATAAAATTGATCTGGCACTTTAAGGGTTAAATAGAAAAACCCTTAAAGTCTCTAATGTTTCAGACCCGACCGCTGTGAGAGGAGGAGGAGGAGCCACCACCATATGAGTGATGGGCGGCATTCCCATAACCACGTGGGAATGCCACTGGACCGCGATATGGCAATAAGGCAGGTAAGAGATCGGCAGCATTCCCCTTAGTGTGTGGCGGCTTGACAGGTGGGAAGCAATTCATGAATGCTCCCCTTGGATGGTATTCGTCTAACGAACGAGGCTTCCACCCAGGGAAGGCACGAGCCAAGGCTTCCCTAGCGGTTTGCGGTTTTTACACCTCTTTACAAGGTGCAAACGTTCTAAAACAACATTCTAAATGAGGTTTCAAGGTGGTTCCGTTTTTGAGGTGAATGGATTCCCTTCATGGCGGTCCTCCCGAACGGGGAGCAGGCAGTTTAGACGAACACACAGAGTAAACTACAGGAGCACAATAGGGAAAATACATGAAATGGAGGCCAAGACAGTACACACACAACAAGGAAACCAGGGAAATTAACAGTTCAGCGGCAGTCCTGTTACAACCTCCACTAATTCCCTTCCTTCAGCCGGTCAGGAACCATGTAAAGGACAAATAGACACTTTTCCCTGCAGTAACAGGTCAACACACAGTCCAGGAGGTATGACACAATTTATGCATACCACCTGCAAGGAGTGGATAAAACAAAACCTACAAGGTCGCCTCCCAGGATCCTCCCCCTCCCTGGGTCCCTAGCGCTGGAAAGGACTCTGTCCTCTTTGTCCCCAAAGCCTGCCACTAAACTCACATAGATTCCCACACCAACCACCAGGGGTCTTCTTCCCAAGAGCCTCGGTGTCTGGGAGTCTCAGCGTGGAAAAAAGGGACCGTCCCTTTGTCTCCCAAGCATAGAAAAGCCCGCCTGTGGGAAAAGAGATGGTCTTTTTCTCCCTCAGAGCCCGCCAAACTCGCCAGTACCCCAAAAGTGCCCACACTAACCTCAGGGACCCTTGCCTCGGCCCCTCAACTGACTAAGCTCCATTCGCGAGGTCCTGGGGTAAAACCCAGACAAGGGAAGCATCTCCTTTTGGGGTGAGCGAACATTCTGATTATTTGGTGTGAACGTTCCACAAATGCTCTCCCTGGTGGCATTCGCCTGTATGAATGGCGACCGCCTGGGGGAAGCACTCATTAATTGTTTCTCTTTGCAGTTTGCGGTTTGACACTTAGGTTGTGTGAACATTCTATCCTAACATTCCAAATGAGGGATTGGGGCGGTCCCCGTTTGGAGGGTGAATGGATTCCCTTCGTGGAAGACCTCCCGAATGGTGAGTCGGCACAATAAACAAAAGAATGGGGAAAACACACACAATGTAAAGACAGGCAAATCAGGGACAGGTAGTGGGTCCGCCACATGACTCTTTTGGGGTTCCTGTTAATATTGGGGGTACTTTTGTTGTATAAATACTATATGTTTCCCTGTAACTGAGAGATAATTGAATGATAGTTTCTGACTCAATTATCTCCCAGACACAGGGATGCCTGGGAGTGGCTTGCTATGTTTCTGTATGGAGACCCCCTGCTGGGGGTCTGCGTATAAACTGAGAGTGTTTGGCCTGAATAAACCAGATGACTCTCAGAATTATGTCTTGTCTAGTTACTGGGGGGATACGAGCTTAATCACACAACGGTTTTAGTCTGGCTGAGAGGAGAACTAGCAGAGGTAACGAGTCTGGTTACTCGGAGCCCACTACATCAGCACCCTGTATAGTGAATGTCAACTTAACTTAATGACCAACCTCATTCTCAATATACAGCGCCTGTCTAGTGAACGTCATCTTACCTCAGTGACCAACCTCACTCTGAATAAACAACATCCTGTATAGTGAACGTCAACTTATATTAGTGACCAGTAACAGAAAAAATTGGGGTGGAACAGCCCTACAGTACTAATCACAGGGGTGGCTGGAGCTGCACACCTAAGGGGAAGGGCAACCCTCAAACCCTTCAACAAATCTGGGAGAACAGGGAACAGCAAATACAGGGTGCGCTAAGTGGAACAAATGAGAGATAATATATACAGAAAGAGGGAAGAACAAAAAAAAAGTCTCTGAAAATGCAATGTGGACCTTGGATAGGTATTCTTTGGTTCTTGATTGGGTCCTCAGTAGTTGATATGAAAAACAAAAGCAAAGACAGGGAGGGACCAATAGTGCAAAACCGTTAGGAGATGGTGTCACGGACAACACAGAAATAGAGAAGTGCCAACTCACAATATACAGAGCTATGTCCAGTGGTATTTAAACTCCCCACATGTAGGATATTCTTCTAGCGATATTTGTAATGCAGGACTTATGAAAGAAAAAAGCACAAAAGAGGGCCCATAGTGTTCTCAGTAGATAAAATAGAAGTAAAAGGTAAAACGAAACATACTTACAGTGTATAGAGCAGCCACACTGCTCAATGAACCAGGTGTGAGGGGAATAATCACCACCTAGGATTTCTTTTGTAGTACTGGATCTTTAGAGTAATATAAAATCAGCCAGGATAAAACTGGATAAAAAAGATAGGTAGTCTAAAAATACTTTTATATTAGCAAAATCATAAAAACACAACGCGTTTCCCCAAAAATAGGCTGTGTTTTTATGATTTTGTTAAAATAAAAGTACCACTGGACATAGCTCTGTATATTGTGAGTTGGCACTTCTCTATTTCTGTGTTTTGCACTATTGGTTTTGCACGGTTTTGCACTATTGGTTCCTCCCTGTCTTTGCTTTTGTTTTTCATATCAACTACTGAGGACCCAATCAAGAACCAAAGAATACCTATCCAAGGTCCACATTGCATTTTCAGAGACTTTTTTTTTTTTGTTCTTCCCTCTTTCTGTATATATTATCTCTCATTTGTTCCACTTAGCGCACCTTGTATTTGCTGTTCCCTGTTCTACCTTAGTGACCAACCTCACACTCTATAAATCGTGCCGGTATAGTGAATGTCAGCTTGTAGCTGAAGAGACGCTTGCTAGACACTTTTATTCCCCTTTCTCAGCTGTCCGTACCCCCCTGTGGCAGAACTGTTATGGGCAAATGCAAATATTACAAGTTTTAGAATTAAATGTTGCATTTCTTAAACTGTGTACTTTGTCTTTAAGAGATATTGCAAATTGACAAGGTGTTAGAAATGGAACATATTGTTTTTCATAACTGTTTCTTTAAGCAATAACCCCAGTGCATAATATGTTTGCGCCATTTTGTCCCAGACGAATTACAATAACAATAATGCATAAACAAGCATCAAGGCTATACTATGACTCTTGCACTACACAATATACTGTTGTAACCTCAAGTTAATGGAACTTCCCCAAATCCGGGAATCTCCCACGACTGTACACTTACGTCTTAGTATAAACAACAGATAACCTATTCAGAATTTAAGATGCCATCTTGAACTAAGTCAGGAAAATTTCCATGACGTATACACCCTTTAGTTATGGCCTTGTATGTTTGCCAAGTTAAGGGAGGTCCTAAAATGAATAAAGTAAAAGAAGGGTTACTTTTTCATATATGAACTACGGTAACCCTAAAATGGAGACACCTAAGGTAAATGTTAAGACACAGAGGAGAGACTTGGAGACAGACGCTGCTCCTTCTTAAAATGACAGAGAGGCTGACACGATGACATGTTCAGAAGGGTATGTTAACCTATTAATGATATTTGCAAGCATGTAATTTAATCTTATAAACTCTGCTATAATGGATTTTATATGTCTATATTTATATTTTTATAAAATAAATATCAAAAAGACAAAACGTCATTGCTTCCAAGACAATCCTTATTTTATATTGTATTCTCAATAATTTATATATGTTAAATAGAGGATCTCTTACTGACTATATAAAATTATGGCTAAGATATCTGTGTGGTTAGCCCTACTAAGTTCTATGCTTTAAGACATTGTAGTGGTAAATAAGGGAACCACCTGCGGTTACAGAACTGACACCTTTCATATGTTTGCCCCCTTTTGTTTTGTGTGTTTTGTATATTTCCATTCGGGAGACTTCATACACACGGAATCCTTTCGTCTCCCAAATGAGGACCACTGTCAGGAACTGCTCTGCTCTGTTCTGATGTCTGACCATGGCTTCTGGTATCTGGTACTCTTTTTACAATCCTTGTTTAGTTTTTCTTGGATGTTGGATTTTCTGTACCTGACTGATAATAAAATTAGAAGAGTTTTCTCAGGCAATTATCCCTCAGGCACAGAGGATCCTGGGATTGAAACCCCTGCATTATTGTGTGTAAAACCTCTTGCATGGGACTGGGCATAACAGAACATATGGCAGAGAGAATGGCGGCCATCTTGTCTCCCGAACGTGGACAGCAGTACGTGGTCATTGAGTGCCTGGAACTTTTTTCGGCTAGGTAAACCTTAGACCACTGCCTGTTCCAGTTCTCGACCACCTACACGAACAACGTTCAAGGGATATGAACTACCAAACAGGGGGAGCATTTGTAACCTGAAAATAAGAGATTGCTTTGTATGGTGTTCGCACGGGTACCTCACGAACTGAGACTGGCAAGAACACCTATTTCTCTGGAAATGTTTTGGGCTAGTGCCTCGTGTCTGGCCGATCAAAAGTTTACCACGGTGGCATTCCCGTTCTGCCAAACCAATCTGAATGATTCTTGGATATGTTGGACACTCAGATCGGGGCTATCTGGGAATGTACTTTTTATGGAGTTTGGGGTTCCTGGGTATGGTTGAGGTACTTTTTGGGGTACAGGATATTTTGTTGGATCTTCTGTACTTGGGAGATAATTAAATTAGAGGAGTTTTCTAAGGCAATTATCTCTCAGGCACAGAGGATCCTGGGATTGAAATCCCTGCATTATTGTATGTGAAACCCCTTTCGTGGGACTGGGCATAAAAGCCATGTATGTGACAATAAAGTTCAGTTGTACTCCCAGAAATGTGTGTCGTCCAGTCTCTGGGAAGGAGGTGGGATATTCCTTGGCTGCTTATTGTTCCTGGTTATACTTTGGTGGATCCAGTGGAGAAGAGTCCCTGCTAGGACTAGGGCTCCGCTACAAGCATACCTCAGTGACCAACCTCACTCTGTATAAACCACACCCTGTATAGTGAGATCAACATACCTCAGTGACCAACCTATCTCTGTGTAAGCAGAGCTCTGAACTCTTGTTCTTACCTTGAAGAAGAACAATCCGATGATATAAAATACGAATCGTAAAATTACGTTATAATTCCTCATGGCTTCCGTCATCACAATACCTGGATGCAGACTGTTCACCGTCACCCCTAAATCAATGTCATCCATATTAATGAAGAAAACGGTTTAATGTACAATACAAGATCACTTAAAAACCCTAAAGCTGAATTAATATCAGTTGATATGATTCTGTATCGTTTCATTGTAAATTAATATCAGTTGATAGAACATTCCACGATTCTGTATCGTTACATTCTAAATTAATATCAGTTGACAGAACATTCTACGATTCTATTGTTACATTCTAAATTAATATCAGTTGAGAGAACAGTCTATTATTCTGTATCGTTACATGCAAAATTAATATCAGAATTCAAACTGAGTTCAAAGACAAATAGCTGAAATTAAACCACTCTCTGCCAGCTATGCTTCCTATTCTACTTTGGCATTAAATGAAAAATTCACGAAGCCTTGTTTTTTTCATCTATTTACGTACAGCTATCCCCTCAGTGATACATCTGGAGGAACGGAACCCACTAAAATGCCAATCGAGTTTGTTTGTCAACCCTCTCTATTTTCTAGTTTTGTGGGCCATTTTAATCTCTCGATATGTACGCAGTGTTTCTACACTTCCCCTTGCTCTAGCATTCTGGATTTGCCATGATGAATTTGAAGATTAATCGTGGCAGATTATTGTAGCCGAATGAGCTTCACCACAGTACCTTCCTTTTGCTAAGGGCTGTTCACCCACCCCTTTTTGTTACTTTATTTCATATATTATGCCTGTTGGTTACTTGTGGAAACAAGTAACAATATAATTTTGTCTATCGTTCGTCTGGTTGTTTGGTAAGAATCCTGTTCAGCTATCTTTCACCATATGGTTCAACAAACGAACCAACTACTGAACAACCAGGCCACCCAGGAGAGGAGCATGGCATCAATTGACCTCCCTAACTTGATTCACACTCTTTCAATTGCCAAACGCACAAACTAACTGGGTGTTCCCTGGGTGGCGGGCGTTTGTCATACGAACAAGTGGTGGCGGCCATCTTGGCATAGGAGTTACACCAGAGGCATTTGGTCGCCGAGTGTCTGGAACCCAAATCGGACACGCGATGGCATGAACACCGCAGAGACTTTCATCCTCGTATAAGTTCGTGGGAACTCAAGGGAACAGAGTGGCATTCGGTAAAAAGAATCATATGAACGAGATGAATTGAATGAACGAAGACACGAACCATATTTTTTTATATACTTTCATACATTACAACATCCCTAACAGAGACCGACCGCACTGCCAAAACCCATGGAACTATTCTCGGCTTACACCTCGTGTGCGGTCGGTAAAACTAAGACCTCCATAAAACTCTCGAACCCCTGAACCGATCTGGGTGATTTTTCAATATGCAGAGGGAGGGATTGTGTGTAATGTATGGGAGTGACTTATGAGCTCCTGACTCTGTGTTTATTGGTTGTTGCATATTTTTATCAGTACCCAACAAGGTCCACCTGGGTGGTAACCTCTGGGGCAAAATCTGCATAAAAGGCCAGCCTGGCCATTAAAAGTTCAGTTCTGCTCCTAATACTGAGTGTCGTCCAGTTATTGGGAAGGATGATGGGATATTCGTATATCATCTTGTACTTATGTCTGTTGTCTTGAAGGTTCCCTGTTTGTTCCTGAGAAGCTGTTGGAGTAACCAGCGGAGACGAAGCCCTGCTACCCCTGCTCTCCGCTACTATTATAATCTAATTAAATCTTTGATACAGAGGGCATGAACACCCTGCCATGCACTCAGAGGCTTCCCGACATTGCTTTACCATCTTTTGGGTTATCTACAGAAATCAAACATTCTTCGGTAGATCTAGATCTCGTCTTTAATTTGTAGCCACAGGAAATCAGGTTAATGGTAATCTAATTGAAGATGTTCATTTTGGTGATATATTCCAGAAATCATATCCTGCCAGGATCCCGGTCAGAGCTCTAACAAAGTCTAAATGGCTTTCCTGTTATGTGCATGGCAGACAGAATGTTCTACCTAGTGAGAGTCTTATGGACATTTGGTTATAAAATGGTTAATTTGGGTATAAACAGGTTAATTTAAACTAGAATTGTTTGTTTCCCATTCTCTGTAAGCTGAACACTTACACACACTTGTTCTAATGACGTATATAAACATTGAGTTTAGTAAATACAAGGTCAGTGAGCTCTGAGAATCTTTTCTCGGTGCCCGGGAATCAGAATAGCCTTGTAAGTCTGCTTTCCTTCCAGATGGTATTTTATTTACTTTATCTGACAAGCATTTAAACTTAAACCCCTTCCCGACCTTCCTGCCTCTGGATTATCATTTAAAACCTATTTTGTCTGTTTGTTCATCAGTTCTCGGTGGTTCGTATGTTTCCTGCTTGCATTTGTCAACAGATAAATGAACTACCGAATGGCAGGCCACCCAACAGGGAAGTGTGCTGCTCGTTAACCTTTCTGCCCTTATTAACATTGTGGTTAACCGTAGACACTTCCAACTACCGAACAGTAGGCTGGGTGGTCGTCGTTCATATGAACGAACACGTGGCGGTGGCCATCTTGGACAGTCGAATGCCCAGCGGTGTTTGTTGACAACCACATGGAACTAATTTCAGACACTGCTCCCCACGAACACCGCTGAGATCACGAACCATCCATCGCTTTGTTACAATTCATACGAACGCCGTGCCATTCGGTAAACTGACAATACACAAACTGAACTGTACCAGATAGTAAATCCTTGGAGCGCCTTCGCTTTGTCGAACACACAATGTACAAACTTTAACTCCATGGCGATTTCACTATATCTATGGGATCTGTGCGCTGTTCGGTTATATTGAGCGCTCAGATCCAAGCTATCTGGGGATATATTGAGTGTGGGGGTTCTGTTCGGTATATTAGGAAATATGTATTTTAATGTGTTTTTACTGTTATTGTAGAATGGGGATATTCTCTATCCCTGGAGGTAATTGAGTTACTTCAAGCACTTAATCCAATTATCTCCAGGATAGAGAGGATGAGTTGTACTGCTTATGTGGAAGTGTTTTCATACTGTACTTGTACGTGATATTGTAAACCCTGTCTCAGTCTTCCACAAGGTCCCTATGGGAGTGTCCCTTGCTGGAAGACCTGCATAAAAGGCTGACATGTAGCCCCCATTAAACAGATCCAGCTTAACTCTTAACACAGAGCCTCGTCTCGTGCTTGGGGGGATAATTCATATGATTCCTGTGTTCGGTAGCTGACTTCGAATTCGAGATAAAGAACAGCTTTGGTGGCATTAACCCCTTCACCTACCCGGGGTGCCGCTACAACCGGCATCAGAAAAATCCCCTTGAGGACCGGTGACGGTCCTGAACAGTCATAATAAGTATGCAGTTACTCGCAGTTACTCCCGGTGTGGGGAGACTGTCAGGCAGTCTCCGCGCGGTGAATTAGGACCCTGCGGTCACGTGATCGCTCTAACAAAACGACTGTAAAACTTTCAAAAACACTATAAAACCTGTACATGGGGGGGTACTGTTTTACTCGGGAGACTTCACTGAACACAAATATTAGTGTTTCAAAACAGTAAAACATATCACAGCGATGATGTCAGTGTAAGTGACTTTTTTTTGCATTTTTCACACACAAATGGCACTTTCACTGAAGATATAATTGTTGTAATACGTTTTACTGTTTTGAAACACTAATATTTGTGTTCAGCAAAGTCTCCTAAGTATAACAGTACCCCCATGTACAGGTTTTATGGTGTTTTTGAAATATTTTTACATTGAAAATGGAAAAGTTGGTTATGTTACCTTTGAGAGTGTATGGTAGCCCAGCAATGAGAATTTACCCCAATGATGGCATACCATTTGCAAAAGAAGACAACCCAAGGTATTGCAAATGGGGTATGTTCAGTCTTTTTTTAGTAGCCTCTTAGTCACAAAACACTGGCCAAAATGAGCATTCAGATTAGTTTTTTGCAATTTTCACACACAAACAAATTTAAATGCTAACTTTGGCCAGTGTTTGTGAAGTGGCTACTAAAAAAGACTGGACATACCCCATATTAAATACCCTGGGTTGTCTACTTTAAAAAAAATATGTACATGTTGGGTGTGATTCAGAGATTTATGACAGATAATAGTGTTACAATGTCACTATTGATACATTTTAAAAATATATATTTTGAAACCGCAATATCCTACTTGTACTTATAGCCCTATAACTTGCACAAAAAAAAAGCAATAAAACACGTAAACACGGGGTGTTTTTAAACTCAGGACAACATTTTGAATCCATTTAGCAGTTTTTTTTTATTAGCTTTCGTAGGTAAGTAAAAGATTTTTCAAGTAAAAGTCATAAAACATGTTTTTTTCCAATTTTTCACCATATTTTATTATTTTTCTAAAAGTAAATTATATGACATGATACAAATAATGGTATGTAAAAAAAACCCAATATATTATTTGTATGGGAACAGTAAATGAGAGAGAGGAAAATTACAGCTAAACACAAACACCACGAAACAGCCCTGGTCCTTAACGTACAACATGGCCAAAACATAATGCATCGAGAAATGATTAGATGTATGTGTTTGGGATTCAGACAAGATTGTTCAGGACTTACAAATAAAAAAACGAACCAGTGAAAAAAATGTCTTGGGCACATATATAAGTCAAGACTCTGGCACTCGACCCAAAATAAAACGGTCCCAAACGTAACAAAGTTTCACAAATCACTATTCCGAAATTTAACTCGGCAAGTGCAAATATCTCCAAAAGTATTAAAAAAACGATGGTAAATTTTATCGGCTGATAAAACCCTCAGTACTATTTTTTCCAATCCACCTAGGATAGCCTATATCAGGAACAAAAGCCTCAAAGATCTACTTATGAAGACAGATTTACCATGAGAAAGCTTGGTCCCGATTAAATCTAATAGGATGGGTTGTTTCCGATGCACCGGATGTGTTACATGTGGGCACATGTTGACTGGTTCATCGTTTGTGCATCCACATTCTGGTAAAAGGTATAAGATTAGATACCACATTACATGTTTGACAGACCATGTCATATATCTCATCTCCTGTCCGTGTGGACTTTTCTACGTTTGTAAAACGGACCTTACTCTTCGGGACAGAATTAGGGGACATTGATCAGCCATCATGACTGCGTTTAGAGATGGGAAACCGGACAAACCGGTGGCTAAACATTTTTGTGAATACAATTACAGATTACCCACCCTTAAATTTATTGCTATCGATGTGATACCAATCCTAAACGAGAGGAGGAGACTGTTCCAGATTATTTCTCCAGAAAGAGACCTTTTGGATCAAGCAATTGGATACTTTACAACCTAAGTAACAAATATATTTTGTTCACTTCATTTTTGGATACTCGCTAAGGTTAACATTCTAGTATTATGCTGTTACGTATTATTGGTAGCCCTATGTTAGACTACTTTTCGCTATTGTTGCTTTTGACTAGTGGGTATCATTCAGCCTCAGCATCCTGCATCTTTTGTATTGGATACATGGTTATGGTTAATAGTCTTCTTTTACACATTAGCTTTATATATATATAATTTTTTTCTTATCGGCCTGGTTCTCACACGTGTTAGGGAAAATTATTCATATTAGGGAAAATGTATTCATACTTACCGTAATTTTCTTTTCCTGGCTATTATTCATGGCAGCATTTAACATATGGGTTTAGCTCCTTCCTCTAACCCTCAGGACAGGAAACACAATCAATTAAACAATTAAGCATACCTTCCCCTTGTATAATAGGAACCCCATCAGCCATCACACCTCAGTCAAGTAACAAGAAGCATATCCAATAGAGGGTGGGAAACCAAATGCTGCCATGAATAATAGCCAGGAAAAGAAAATTACGGTAAGTATGAATAAATTTTCCCTATTCCTGGCTAATCATGGCAGCATTTAACATATGGGATTCCCCAAGCAATAACAACACAGGGAGGGAAATGCATGCTACAAAAATAGTTTAATATAGAGATCATCTATGAGGATTAAAGGAGTTCAGGACCGACAGGCCAAACTCCGAATCCGAGCGGGAAGCAATATCCACTTTGTAGTGATTTACAAAGGTCTTTAGAGAAGACCAATTGGCAGCCTTACAGATGCTCTCTGCAGGAACTCCTGACTCTGCAGCCCATGAAGTAGCGATAGATCTTGTGGAATGAGCCCTGATGTTTTTCGGAACAGGAACACCACACGCTCCATAAGCCCTGGAGATAGCCGAAACCGTCCAGGAACGAAGAGTGGAGACTGAGGCGGCTTCACCTTTGCGAGAACCCCAAGGTATAATGAATAATTGAGAGGATTTCCTCCAAGCAGCAGAGCGTTCTATATACATCAGTAAACATCTACGAAGATCCAGCATATGACACCTTGATTCCTCAGGGGTAGAAGGATGCTGAAAATAGGCAGGCAAGATAATTTCCTGATTGAGATGGAAAGATGTAACAACCTTGGGAAGAAATTCAGGCCTCGGTCGGAGAACGACCCTATCATCAAAGAATGAAGTGTAAGGTTCCTCGGCTGATAAAGCTCTGATGTCAGACATTCTTCTGGCAGAGACTAGAGCCAGTAATAATAGAGTCTTCTGAGAAAAGATCTGCAAATGTATGCTCCCAATAGGTTCGAAGGGAGACTCCGTTAGGGCCTGCAGTACCAGAGGCAAATTCCAAGGAGACGCCAGTTGTCTGATAGGAGGTCTAATCCTTACAACGGCCTTGAAAAAACGAACCACCATAGGATGAAGTGCCCATCGAATGCCAGAGAGAGCCGAGATAGCTGAACAGTGAACTTTCAGGGTGTTAAGACTAAGACCCTTCTCCAGGCCCACTTGTAGAAAACCTAAAACTTGAGAGACTGTAGGAGTACCCATGTTCTGTATAGAAGAATTTAACCAGACCGCAAAGGCTTCCCATATTCTGTGGTAAGTAGATGAAGTGGAGATCTTCCTGGAACATAAAAGGGTAGCCACCACCTGTTCCGATAAGCCCTGTTTCTTCAGGGATTGCCTTTCAGAAGCCAAGCATGAAGCCTGAGCTTGTAAGGTTCTGGATGAACCACCGGGCCTTGTGTCAGCAGATTCTCCGAGACTGGAATCTCCCAAGGATCCTCCAATGCCAACCTCCTCAGAAGAGGAAACCAAGGACGTCTTGGCCAGAAGGGGATCACTGCAATCACCCTGCAACGTTCTCTGGAAATCTTCCTCAGGACAGCTTGAATGAGAGGAACTGGGGGAAAGACATATACCAGATGAAAGTGCCATTTGATTGATAGAGCATCTTGATCCAGCGCCCTCAGATGGAATCTCCTTGAAACAAAACAAGGAACTTGAGTGTTCTGAGCTGTAGCCATGAGATCCACTTGGGGAAGACCCCACCTCTGGACCAATTGCTGAAACACCGTCCTTGACAGGTGCCATTCCGTGGCTTCTACCAGGTGTCTGCTGAGGAAGTCCGCCAAGACAGTCTCCTTTCCTGGAAGATAGACCGCACGTAGACCTTCCACATGTATTTGTGCCCAGGTCATGATTGCTGATACTTCTTTCATCAGTGAAACACTCCTGGTGCCTCCTTGATGGTTGATATAGGCGGCAGCCGCTCTGTTGTCCACTCTCAACTTCACCCAGGCTCTTTTGATCAGATGCCGAAAATGAAGAAGAGCCAGAAACGTTGCTCTCAATTCCCTTATATTTGAAGGCAGGTGCTGAGCATTCTGAGTCCATTCTGCCTGGACAAAGGAATTTCCCAGATGAGCACCCCAACCGAACTGACTGGCATCTGTCGTGATGACTACCCAGTCGACTTCCTTCAAAGGAAAACCTCTGGAGATGTTTTCTTCTTTCATCCACCAATGAAGCTTCCTTTTCAGGCTGAGAGGAATGTGGATCTGCTTCTCCCAGTCGTCTGAGCTGGATTTGAAGTTTTTCAGGAGATGCTGCTGAAGAGGACGAAGATTCCAATGCGCCCATCTGACCAGGTCTATAGTAGAGGTCAGGGTACCCAGGAGTTTCATAAACTCCCTTGCGGAAGCAGAAGCCTTCTGAAGAAAAACCTGCATACGATCCTGCAGCTTCAATTTTCTTTCTTGGGCGAGAGATACCATCGCATTGAGGGTATTGAAGCATGCTCCTAAGAACACCAGCTCCCTTGAAGGTTTTAAATGACTCTTCTCGTGGTTGATTAGCCACCCAAACCGAGAGAGAGTCTCGAGTACTAGATGTCTGTGTTGGAGTAACATCTCGAAGTCTGAGGCCACTACCAGAATGTCGTCGAGGTAGTGGTAAATGGCTACATCCATCTTCCTCAGGAAAGCAATTACCGTGACCAGTATCTTTGAGAAGGTTCTCGGGGCCATACTTATCCCAAAGGGAAGAGCCTGAAACTGGAAGTGCTCCCCTTTTACACAGCATCGAAGAAACTTCTGATGTCTTTCTGTGACCGGAACATGGAAGTAGGCATCTTTTAGGTCTATTGAGATTAACCAGTCTCTGTGGTGAATCACTGGAATGATGGAACGGATGGATTCCATACGAAACTTTCTTATCCTTAAGAAGATGTTGAGCTGGTGTAGATCTAGAATAGGTCTCCACTTTCCTCCTGGTTTCTTTACTAAGAACAGGGGAGAATAGAACCCTTGGAACCTTTCTTTCACAGGAACCGGAACAATGACCCTTTCCAGAAAAAGATTGGCAACATAATGGGTCAAGACTTCTCTTTTTTGTCTGTCGACAGGGAGTCTTGTTCTGATGAATCTTGGTGGAGGGGAAATATCTTCGAACTCCAGAGAATATCCTGCGGTGATTACGGAATTCACCCAAGCATCTGGAATCACACTCCAGGTCCTCCAGAAGAACGAAAGGCGTGCTCCTACATATAAGCCACCTTCAGAACTGTCTGGTGGGGCGAAAGGAGGAATTTTGAGCCTTTGGTCTGGAAGTGTGACAGACCCATCTGTCTGGATTATAACTGCGTTGTTCGTCTGTTTTTCCGTTTTCATGAATTTCCCCGTTCGTATGCTTTGTTTAAGGGAATGTCGGTTTTGTCGAACGGAACTACCGAACGGACGGCCACCCAGAAGAGAAGTGTGCTGCTGGTTAACCTATTGATCCCAATTAGAGCGTTGCGGTTAACCACAGACACTTCTCAATTAAAAACCGAATGCCGGGTGGTCGTCGTTCGTATGTCGACCACGAGGCGGCGGCCATTTTGTCCATGCGAACGACCAGCGGTGTTCAACGATTATTTCATGGATCGGAAAACGGACACTTTTTCAGCCGAACACCGCTGAAGCCGTCGACCTCCCCTTCTCAATCGACAAAAGCATGCGAACGACAGCCGTTCGGGAGATTCAACCACACGAATGGACTTAACCCAGATAGCCGTCCCATGGAGTCAATCGCATACCGAAGAACTGAAAGAGACTTTGACTCCATGGCGATTGAACTGTGCGAATGGGATCTGAGCGCTATTCTCCAATAATGTGCCCTCAGATCCAGGCTATCTGGGGATATGCAAGACTGATGTAAAATGTTCAGCAGTTATTAAGTTATGGATTTTTGTGTGTTTTTGTAACTTGTATCTAAAATGGCGATTGCCTCTGCTCGGGGAGATAATTGAATTACTTCCCAATTATCCCCCGAGCAGAGGGGAGGGAACTGTACTGCATGCTGGGAATATTGTGGGGATGTATGTCCAGAATGTCCCCATGTCCCTCTGTGATTTCAGTCTCCCATTTGGTCCCCTAGGGGAGTGTCCACCAAGTGGGAGACCTGCATAAATACCGGGCAGGTAGCCCACAGTAAACCAGTTCGTGTTTTACCCTCAAAGCGGAGCTTGGTCTCGTTATTGGGGGGATTTGGATACTAGCGGCGAGAGACTGCTTACTTGGATTATTTGCCGCTTGGGAGAGATTGTCGTTCGGTTATTAATTGCCGTTCGTGGATTTGCGGCTTGCGAAGGGAATTAGCCGTACAGGTACCGTTCGGGAGTTTGGAGTGTTCCCTGACTGGCGTTCGCATGGTTTTATTATACCCGCTACCCGACCACATTATTGCGAACGGGGAATACTCGCTAAACGGCGGTTTGTACATTTCGTTCCTGGAGGTACCGTAACAACTGGTGGCAAGCGACGGGATGATCCTCAACGCCCAAAGAGACCATTACAACCAGGACTAAATGGAATTACAATACCAAAACCTGAGGAGGGCTACCCTAAAGGATTTATTGGAACAAAGAGGGGGACAAGCCAGTAACCTCAGGAAGAGGGATATTATTGCGTTATTGCTGGAAATGGATGGAGTACCAGCGGCAGAGGGAACCAATGGACCCAGCGCAGCTGACAGAACCCCCGAGGAGGCAAGCTTTGACCGGGCGGTAAGAATCAGGCTGGCCCATTATGGTTCCAACCCGACTATAGAGACCATTGACCGGGTCATGGCAGCTGTGGAGGCCAACCTGCTTCGCCAAAGCGGTGCTGCAGCAGCCCCAGTCACAGCAAACCCGGGGGATAGGAAAAAGGTACCATTCACTGCGTTTAAAGCCTTCAGTGAAACAGAAGGAGAGATCGATGGGTACCTTGCTGATTTTGAGCGGCAATGTGCCCTGCACAAGGTACCCCTGGAAGACTGGGTCACTATATTGTCCGGCAAGTTATCCGGCCGGGCCAGCGAGGCATTTCGGGCCATTCCTGATGAGGAGATTGGGGATTATGTGGCCGTCAGGGAAGCTTTACTCTCCCGGTATGCCGTTACACCTGAGGCATACCGGAGGAGGTTCCGAGACACCGTCAAGACCTCTGGGGACTCATACGTGGAATGGGCATGTAAGGTGCATCGCACAGCCGCCCACTGGATGGCGGGGTGCCAGGCTGTGTCCGGAGAAGAGGTGCTGCAGATGTTTCTTTTGGAACATTGTTTTGATAAATTGCCAGCAGGGGTCAGAGAGTGGGTAAGGGACCGCAAACCCTCCACTCTGCACGAAGCAGCTCGCCTGGCGGATGAGTATACCGACGCCCGCAAACTGGACAGTCTCATCAGCAAGGCTCCCGCCAGAGTGGAATACAGGCCAACAGCACCAATAGCAGCCAACCTATACCAGCCTCCCATGAATCGCCCATCGGCACCGTCTCCATCTGCCCCGTACCAGCAGACACCTCGGTTCAACTCACGGGAGTATGCCCAACCCATTCGGTGCTACCTGTGCAAGCAACTAGGGCACAAGCGACCCGAGTGCCCGATGAACAGCGCCAACCAGAACCAGTCCTGGAGGAGACCAGCCGGCGGCAATCCACGACCCCCCATCCCAGCCGCTCACTGTGTAGAGGAAGAGGAGTGCTGGGGCATCCTGCATGAGGCAGACCCCGTTCAGGCTGCCCACCGGGATAACAGGCAGCACCACCGACAATGTGTAAAAGTCAATGGGAAGGAGGTCAGTGGTCTACGGGATACCGGGGCAACCATGACTTTGCTCCAGAAACACCTGGTATCCGAAGCCCAACATACAGGGGACACGGTCGCCGTACGAGTAGCTGGAGGTGCCGTGTTCCGTCTGCCCGTTGCCCGGGTACATTTGGATTGGGGAGTGGGCGCTAGACATGTGAATGTGGGGGTCATGAAGGACTTACCAGCGGATGTCCTCCTTGGCAATGACTTGGCGCCCCTTGTTTCCGCCTACGCTCCCATGGGTCCTGCTGAAGTGGACGCTGTCACGACCCGTGCCCAGACCCGTGCCGCCGAGACCGGCCCACCTGCTGTTGAGACCCAGGTAAGACTCTCTAACCCGACTTGTACCTTAGACCAGGCCCCTTTAGGCTGGGATACCCCAGAGATATACGGGAAGGAAACCAGGGAAGACCCGACGCTAGCAAAGTACAGGGCCAGGGCCGATTCTGGGGGAGAAGGAGTAGATGGGGAGCACTACGAGTGGGTGGGGGATAGACTCTACAGGATCCCGAAACCGCCCCAGAAGCCGAATACCCCTCCGCAGAATCGACAGCTAGTGGTGCCCGCAAAATACCGGCAGGAGATTCTGCGGATTGGGCATGATGTGCCATTAGCCGGCCATCTAGGTTCCCGCCGCACAGCTCATAGGATCACGCAAAATTTCTTCTGGCCCAATTTTAACCGAGATGTGCGGGTCTATTGTAGCACGTGTGACACCTGTCAACGGGTAGGTAAGCGGGGGGATCACCCAAAAGCTAGGCTTCAGTCGATGCCTATCATTGGAGAACCCTTTTCCCGCATAGCCGTTGACATTGTGGGTCCACTGGCCAGGGCTAGTCCATCAGGTAAGAAGTATATTCTCACCGTGGTGGACTATGCCACACACACGTTACCCAGAGGCAGTAGCGCTGTCTAATATAGAGGCAGAGACGGTTGCTGATGCCCTGGTTAAAATCTTCACTAGGGTCGGGTTCCCTCAGGAGATTCTCTCCGATCAGGGAACCCAGTTCACCACTGTGCTTACCCAGCAGCTGTGGAAGGTGTGCGGTATTAAACCTCTACTTAGCTCACCGTATCACCCACAGACTAACGGTCTCTGTGAGCGATTTAATG